CCTCCTCCTCCTCTTTGTCCTGCTTCGAACAGAAATTCCCCTTCCTATTATAGGTACTTCCTTCCTGGTCAATGATCGATCCTTTAACAAAAGCCAGGAAACGGGGCAGTTGATGCGATGAAATGAGGAGAGCCAGCCCTCTTCTCCAATGTGGGGCCCTCCTCAGCAGCCTGCTTAGTGCCTGTTGGAGATTAAGAACAGTGAGAAGAATGGAGGCTGCCATCTTTGGGTTCCTGCCACCTGCTTATCCTGATCCACGCTTCCTTTATGCTCCTCGCATCTAAAAAAGCAAAGGCCCAGAGGGGTTGAGAGATGTGCTCGAGGCCACCAATCTAACAAGTAGTGGTGCCAAAATTCAAACTCGGGAGTTTCTGCGTTCTCCAGAACTTTTCCCTCCTTCTGCCAAGCAAAAGTGTTTTCCCAAAGACTCAGTCTGGTCACCAGCAGCATTTGCTCCCAACATCTGTGCGTGGTCAAATAGGATCAGGACATGTAAGAAGTAACCTTTACTAGCTCCCCAAGTGGCTCCAGTTGAAAACTAAACTTCTAACAGAGTAAAAATTCCTTTCCGCGTTCAGATAACTTAGCTGGTTAAATATCAAGCTCTGCAAAGCTTTATTTACTAATAGACCCATGGAATGTGATCCCTTCAGGGGTTTAATGTACTTGAAACACTGTAAAAATCACCATTTAAGAACCTCTAGATCAGCACCATCCAATAGAACTCTCTGCCATGAAGAACATGTTTTATGTCTACATTGCCCAATATAGTAAGTAGCTTTTGAGCACTTGAAACATGGCTGGCTGGTGTAACCAAGGAGTTGAATTTTTATTTAATGTATTTAATTTTAAGTAATTTAAGTAGCCACATGTGGCCAGTAGTTACCATATTGGACACACAGTTCTAGAATATTCTGAAACGTTGATTGCTGGTCCCTACATTTTCATTATCCTTTGCCTATAATAAGCTCTAGCATATCACTGGGTCATAATTACTTACGTTTTGCCCACCTCACTAGGTTATAAGCTTTATGTCTTACTCAGTTTGCTGTGATCATCTACTAGCACATGGCCTGGCCCACAGTACCAGATGTTAAATAATTAATATAGGTTAAGTAAATGGATATGACTCGACTTTCTCAAAAGCATCGTTTTTACTGCTTGCTACCAGTTTACCCTCTCTTGAGATTTTGCTCTTATGACTAGACTGATTCCCACATCTTCAAATGAAGCCCAGACTGCCCACTTGTGAGCACACTTTTCTTTCTTCCAAGGAAAGCCCTCTTTTTTCTGAAAATCACTTTTTTAGCTGATTATTTGGGTTATTTGCCTCTGTTTCTCTAAATGAATGCTTCTCTTACCATGTCTTGGTTTTCTTTTCTGGTTTAGACATTATCTTCCATTATGGAAGTTGATTCAGCTTCCATCCCCTACCCCACATAAGACATGTTCCCAATCCCCACTGTGTACCTCCTCTAGTTTTAGTTTGGTGAATATCTAGTATCTGTTAGAACTCTGTAAATGCTGTTCACAGCCAATCCAGGTAGAGAATTATAATTCCCTTCCCACCTAGCTTTTTCTCTGGGGTCACAAATGGCTCATTTTTTCATCTGTTCAGTATTCTGCGTACTTCACTGATTCAACCCCCAAATTCTTTTCTTATTGTATGTAAGGGGATCCTTAAGTGATTCTATTGATTTCCTCTCTTAAAAGAAAACTGCCCGGAGCCTTCTTGCCTTGTCCAGTCTAAACAAGCTGTCCTTGTGGCTGTGTCCACTGCTGGCATTCTGGGATCTCAGCCACCATCATCCTTGGGGACACGTTTGTCCCTCTCCTGTGTATAATGTCCTGTTTCCTATATCCCTTACTTTCCCCTCTTGGTTTACTCCTTCATTTGTTTGTTACGTTTTCCAATAGTTTCATTCACAGAAGGGGAAAGAGTGTGAATGGTAAATTTTTTGAGAGCTTTCATATCTGAAAATGTCTTTATCCGACCCTCTCACTTAATTGGTCATTTGGCCTGGTTTAGAATGGGGTGTGTGTGTGTGTGTGTGTGTGTGTTTAAGGAGCCTAAGACCATTCTGATCCCCAACTCTTTGAATATGATCTGGTTTTCTCTTTCTTAGAAGCCTGTATAGGATTCCAGTTCTGAAATATCACAATGGTGTGTCTTGGTGTTGACTCTGTGTTTCTTGATTGCGGTGGGCACTTGGTGAGTGCTTTCATCTAGAAACTCCTTCAGTTATGTGACATTTTCTCAGATTACTTTGTTGATGAATTCCTCCCCTCCTTTTATTTGTTCTTTCTTTTTGGAGCTCTTATTACTTGGATGTTGGCCCTCCTGGACTGGTCCTCTAATTTTCTTTCATCTTTTCTATTTGATTTTCTGTGTCTTTATCTGTTTTGCTACTTTATATGAGATTTCCTCATCTTTTTCTTCCAGATTCTTTATTGAAATATTCATCTTTGTTCTTAATTTTTCATAATATTTATTTATTTATTTGAGAGAGAGAAAGAGAGTCAGGTGGTGGGGGGGGGAGTGGTACAGGGAAAGGGAGAGAGAGAATCTCAAGCAGACTCCCTGCTGAGTGCGGAGCCCGATGTCGAGGGGCTCGATCTCACCACCTTGAGATCATGACCTGAGCCAAAATCAAGAGTCGGACGCTTAACCGACTGAGCCATCCAGGCGCCCCCGTTGTCTTGTTTTAATTTCCAATTTAGTTTTCTTCTCCCTACTTTTCAGTTCAAGTGCTTTTTTGTTGGTTCGTTGGTTGGTTGGGTGCTTTCCGTCTGTCTTTCCTGTTCGAGACTTTCCTCAGATGTCTGGAGGACAGCTGGAGGGTGAGTGCCAACATTCCCAGAGCCAAGGAGAGGAGCATGCTGAGGCTGTCAGAGCTGCATGTGCGTATGTTCACTTAACCCCCAGTTTTGGATTCAGCACCCCTGCCCGCTGCTGTGTGTTCTCTACTATGTTCCTAGTCCAGAAGCCCTGCCTTACCCTTTGCAGACACTAAACTTACATTCTTTGGGGCACCTGGGTGACTCAGTTGGTTAGGCGTCTGCCTTCGGCTCAGGTCATGATCCTGGGGTCCTGGGATTGAGCCCCGCATAGGGCTCCCTGCTTAGCAAGGAGCCTGCTTCTCCCTCTCCCTCTGCTTGCTGCTCCCCCCTGCTTGTGCTCACTCTCTCTCTCTGTCAAATAAATAAATAAAATCTTTTTAAAAAGTTTTTTTAAATAAAAATAAACAAACAAACAAACTAGCTTACATTCTTTGGATGAGATAGAGAGTGGCACCCACCCCAAAAGCTGGGTGGGCAGAAAGAGATTTAGGAACCTAACTGCTTCTTACACGCCTTCCAAATCATCCTGATTCTAGCCCTCCCCTCTTTGTCCCTACAACCTACTGCCACATCCCGTTGGCTTCCTACGATGCACTTGGCACATGGCAAGTCTACCAACCACATGGCAAGTTCCAAATTCTTTAAACACCAAGCAATCCAGAATATTCCCGGTCTTGCACATAGGGCTGTCATTTTATAGGGCACACAACACGGTGTCCCATTCACTGCAGTTTCCTGGTGCCTGGCACACAGTAGGAATTCAATGATTTGTTCACTAAATAATACTCCACCCTTTCCGGTCTCCTCTTTGTCATGTTCCCTCTATCTGAAAGGCCCTCCCACCTCATCTCACCGTCTTTATGTTTCCATTTACCACGGTTTCTCTCAAATTTCAGTGAATGCCTGCTTCAGTGCTGCTGGCCCCAGCTATCCAACCCCGCAGGCCTTTTGTTTGCGCACCTCTGATGGTGTTATTCGTACCCGGCATAACATTTTAGTGATTTGTAACCTCTTCTGGTCTCCTTGACCTCCACAACCAGATGGCTAGCTCCCTGAGAGCTTGCCTTTCTCGTGTCTTACTTACCAAGTGATATTTGAGTTGAATTATGAACACTGTGGTAAAAACTAAGAATAAAAGAATCATGGGGCACCTGGGTGGCTCAGCCGTTAAGCATCTGCCTTCGGCTCAGGTCATGATCCCAGGGTCCTGGGATCGAGTCCCGCATCGGGCTCCCTGCTCGGTGGGGAGCCTGCATCTCCCTCTGACCCTCCCCCTGTTCATGTTCTCTCTCTCTCAGAAAAATAAAATCTTAAAAAAAAAGAATAATAGAATCATGTGACATTTGGGCAATGTATTCCATTTTAACAAATTATTAAACAATAAGAAATAATGCTGAGTGAAAACACATTGCTGACAAGAAAATGAAAATGAATTACCAAAAGTATATAACCATTCCGATATTGCATGACAAATTTGAGGCAGAATTAATGATTTCAAGAAGTGATTTACTTGGAAATGGGCTAAGAGCATTTCTTGAAAAAGTTGTATCTATATATAAGTGAGTTATTCTAATAATCACAGAAGTTGGTAAAAATCTGAAGATTAGCTTTACTTTCTCAAATCTTACATATTATTAGTTTCACTAAGCAAAGCTATTTTCTAAATTATGTATTTTATTAAAATATTGTACATGTATTCATTGAAACTTTGTTTGATATGTCTCCAGGAAGCAAATTCCTTGAATTATTTTTCTGTTTAGTTGAAACTTCACCCAGGAGAGAAGAGGTGTGTTGTCATGTGATGTTTATTAAATAACAACTGTAGTTTTCCATTATTGAACAATTCCAGTATGCCCAGCACGTGATAGACTGCTTACATGTTGCGCCATTTAAATTTCACTACAACGTTATTTTATAGAAGAAAACACTGAAGTTTGGGTGGATTGTTCATTGATTGCTGGTTGTCAGCAGCTAGGGCTGCAGACCCAGACCTGGCAGGTTTCAAGACACTTGTCTTTCTGGGCCAGGAACTCCTTTCCCCCACATCGCTGCCTAGCAACCCCTCAGGACATGCTGTCTGCTGTCACTGTCAAGATGCAACTTGGCTGGGAACAGGAGGCAACTTGGAGACTCAATTTGCAACTTTTTTACTGTTGCAGGAAGAGAAGTTAAACTTCGAGAGAAACCTAATGGACAATCTCCACAGCAGGTAAGCAATTTTCTTCTTTATGCTTTGGGAAAAGCAATCTTTCCATTTTCCATTAAATTTTCTATTACTCGGTCTTTCACTACAGTTTTTATTGCCCGAAACATTAAAGCCAGTAAACCGAGCAATCCCTGAGGTATGTCTCTTTCTGGCTTCATTCAGGTTTGAGTAGAATTTCGTTATTTCCTTTTTACTTGTGTTGTTTCGGGATACAATTCTAGAACATGTGAGATGAGCATGACCCAACTAAGTCTTCACATTGAAAGATTTACACTATGAGGAACTGAAACAAGATGGCGGAACATCCTCGCCTTGTTTGAGCTTAGCTAGAAACGTGCACATCAGACAACTCAGACGTTTTGCCACTCGGCCCATGTCCACAAGTGGCTGCCGAGGCACAGTGAGTATTCATTTGGGGATTGCGAATAAATTTTAGCAGGTTAGATGAATTAGAACAAATATGGAATCCACAAATAATGGGGATCAATTAGACCCATAAAGCAAGTAGATTAACACCAGGTACCTAGGAAGCTGTATGTAAGTTTGATATTTTTATCATCATCATCATCATTATTAAATGTTATTAAATATCCTGAGGGCATTGGGCAACTTTGAAAAGTTTTATGGGCAGGGAGAGTGATACGGTTAAGATTTGTGTCCTAAAAAGACCACGTGACTTCTGTATGGCCAGTGTATTGGGTGGATGCAGGTGACAGGAGGATAATGTTACGGGCAGAGCAGTAGCCGTGCACATGGAGAGAAGAGGGTGGGTCTAAGAGAGACAGTGTAAGAGGCAGCATTCCTGCCTTCATGTTGCTTTCCCCCTGGAATGTGGTTCAAAACTCCACCAGCACCATTATCTGCTCACCTTTGCCCACAAGCCTTTCTTAATCTTCCCAAGATTACTCAGGTGCTCCTTACGTAAGACTGGGTGACGCATTTCAGTCGTGTTAACACTAGACTAGTCATCTGCTTGTATGTTTTTTTTTAAAAGATTTTATTTATTTATTTGACAGAGAGAGACACAGCGAGAGAGGGAATACAAGCAGGGGGAGTGGGAGAGGGAGAAGCAGGCTTCCCGCTGAGCAGGGAGCCCGATGCAGGGCTCGATCCCAGGACCCTGGGATCATGACCTGAGCCGAAGGCAGATGCTCAGCCAACTGAGCCACTCAGGCGCCCCATGCTTGTATGTTACTTACACATTTTTCCTTTGCTAAACTGTAAAATTATTTCCAGATCCCTGAGATTGAATTCAGTACTTGGCATGTAATAGGTGCTCAGAAAATATATGTTGCCTGAATGGGTGGCAAGCCCTTTAACAAACAGCAGAGATCTTCTGTCTCTTTGTGTCCTAAGAACTAGCAGAGTGTGCTGCCCCCAGTTAGGTGCTGTGGGTTAACTGAGGCCTTAGAACCATGTTCAATCTCTTCAAGTGCACAAACTATTTTTACTCTACTTCAAAGAAACCTTGAGGATTCAGTTCTGCGTATGGAGAGGTCATCTAAAATACGGGACCATCTGTTTTTTCTCGTCCTCTGACCAGTTCATGCTTCCAGCCTTGAGTCCGGGGCACATTTATAAAATGAGGTGACTGAGTGGGATGTTCTCTAAGATTCTTTGCGGTTTGGGCACTCTAAGATACTGGGTTACACAAGCTAGTTGATCCAAGCATCTAGCCTTGAGCTATGCTTGCTTTAAAAGCTGTCATTATCTGTACAAGACCAGCCGTACCCTATAAACTTCGGTTCACATCGCCTCCTCTAAGGCTTCCTCGTCATTTCCAGAACTTAGCTTTTTCTAAATGCTTCACGTTTCTTCCAGACTTCTCCCCACTCCCAAATAAAGCTATTTCCCAAATAGGAGGCATACTGTGTGTTGGAGATGCGCCCTGATTCCCATGCAGTTCCAGGGAGGATTCGGTCAGAACATCACTCAGAAATTCTGTTCACAGTGTCTAAACACAAATAGCAGCCCGTAGTTCAAGAATCTTCTCACAGACAATGACCATGAACATGAGAGCAGTCAACATTTAAGAACCTCCTGCTTGCCAGACACACTCCGCCAGGCCCATCACCATGTTTCAATCATGTGATTTTTTTTTTTTTTTAAGATTTTATTTACTTGAGAGAGTGCAAGAGAGAGAGTATGAGCAGGGGGAGGGGCAGAAGGAGAGGGAGAGGCAGACTCGGGGGCTTGACCCTGAGATCATGACCTGAGCTGAAGGCAGACGCTTAGCCGACTGAGCCACCCAGGCACCCCTAAATCACATGATCTTAATAGGGATGCTGTGAGATTACATGTTACTGTGTTCCCCATCCGATGGCTGGCAAACTCAGAAGTTAAATGGCTCACTGGAGATCACCCAGCTTTCAACAGGCCAATCCAGATTTTGACTCCAGAGCCCGTTCCCATAATTGCATCACTAGACTGTCTTCTGCATACTGGATTTTCAGGTTCTTTCTCCTCTTCTCTTAGACCCCCTTTATGATTTTATACATGTTCTTTGACCGGTCCTTCTGGTAATGTGGCCAGGAAAATGAAAGCAACCATGTGCTAATGCCAAGGCCATCTCTTATGTTTCCAAGCAGACACCCTACTAAAGAAGGGTGATGCTGACCTTCCTATGCAGCTTGAACCAAAGTCAGTAGATGAGCCCAGCAAACTGAGTCGAGATGAGTTTTGTCCGATGATACCATTACCATGGTGGTCAAGAGTATGCCAGAAGGGGGTCCCCTGATCGCACATGAGAAAGACAGAGAACTGCACGTGATAAATGAAAACACATCATCTTCATTTCAGATTTTTAAAATCTTCTCGAATAAACTATACTTCTATTATCTGAAGATGCTCCAAAATGCACTTGTTCAGAAGGTCATGGTCTCCCCGCCCCCCATCTTCAGTAGGGTCTGAATCTTGGTGCCGTGGTGATTATTCCTGAATAGCGCACTTGGTTTGGTTTTCAATGGCATCGTCTGTTGGCTTATCAGCCAACAAGATTCTACCCAAGGAGCAGAATTTGGGAAAAACATCTAATTCCACACGATTGATGAAAATCTGTTATTTTCAATGAGATTATGTAGATATTAGTTGAGATCTATATATGGTCCCAGTCACTTTCTTCTCAGAGCTGTCTGTGATAATCTGCATTGAGTTCCTCAACATATACTTCAAAAGCACTTTAATAAGCACAGGGGGATATCTGGATTACCACCGCTAAGAGTTTTAGATATTTGTCTTAAGCTGTTGACTTGGAGCCTCACTGAAGCATTTAGGGGCATATTACAAATCAGCTTCCTGACACTATATTGATGACGGGGAGTGGGTCAATATGGCCCAGTGCCTATACTAATAATAGGGAACAACTTCCTTATTTTACCAGCCATAAAGAACATCTATAAGCTTATTTATTAATCACCATCACCCACACCCATCAGTGACGTTGAGTATTTTCGTGAGATTACTAAAAATAGCATGAAGGTCCTTATGCCCTGATTCCTTCTCCAATGGCAGTTTTAGAATACCCCTATGTAGATATAGGAGGGGCTTGAGAGCTTGGGAAGGGAAGATAGGAGGCTTGTAAGGAAGTTACATTGTACAGGAAACAGACTGATTTGTGGTGAGAAAGGGAAGAGAACTTGATGGAGGTGATGGAGGGGCTTAAGTCCCTTCCCCAGCCACCACTGACATCCCCCATGGCCCGCCCTGTGTCAGGCGCGCAGCAAGCAACAACATGTATGTTCGAGAATACCAGTTTTTGCAGAGTCCAATGCTGTTGCCGTATATTCTTTAGTAGCGTAGCGAGAAGGCCTTTGACCAGGATACTGTTTGTATTAGGCTCAGAAACAGGAACCTCTCCTTTCAAACAGAGGAAAATTAGAGTCAGCGGGCTATGCAGATAATTGCAGAGCTGGGAAACCAACCGGTGGGGCAACACAGAGGTGGTCAAGGCAGGAAGACAGGAGCACCGCAGGGGGAGGTGCAGAACCGGATGCTGGGGCAGCAGCTGGAGCCATGGAGGGCAGTGAGGGAGGTACGGCCAGGGCCAGGATGGGCGGGATACTGTCCGAGCAGCGAGAGAGAGAGAGAGAGAGAGAGAGAGAGGGGAGAAATACCCCGGCTCCTCCCATCTTCCGTCTCTGCTCTTCTGCCAGCACCTTCCATTGCTGGGACCCACCCAGATGCAGAGGACAGGGGCTCCTCCCCGTCGCGCTGCCCAGGACACAGAGCCAGCAGGACGAGACAGGCAGTGCGCCAGCCCCGTGTCATCGATTTGTTCCAGTTATTGCCCGACTAGTGAACATTAGGAGGTTCAAGTTGATCCCATATTTCTAGACACTTGGTTATTTTAACTTGTCCCTGTTACAGCCCCCATAGAGATGGATAATAGACCGAATATAATTTAGAAAGTGTTTAAACGCAAATTCTGAAAAACAAAGTTTTTAGAAACTTACGAAGATTGGAAAACTGCCCCAGTTGGGGATGGGATTGGGAACAGTGATGACGGGGATGAGTTTCTGACCAAAATGAAGAGGCCTGGCCTGCCTTGGTATCCGTACAGCAGTAAAGCACCAGTTCTCCAAGTGGGGGCCTCAGAAAGCAGCATCAGGCGCTTGTTAGAAAATGCGGGTTATTGGGCGCCTGGGTGGCTCAGTCGGTTAAGCGACTGCCTTCGGCTCAGGTCATGATCCTGGAGTCCCTGGATCAAGTCCCACGTCGGGCTCCCTGCTCGGCAGGGAGTCTGCTTCTCC